GTTGATTTATTAAGGATTGAATTAGTTGAAAAATCAGTTGTGAACTTGACATTTGTTGAATATCATGATGGAGTATTTTATATGAGAGATAAATTGTTTGGAAAGTCTTTTTCACTTTTATCTGACATGATTAAAGAGTATTGTAGCTTGAATTTAAATCCGTATTTACCACATATTGATGAAGTATGCCTTGGCCAATTTCCAGGTATTTATTACTAAGTCTTTCAACTCTATGTATAGTAATTTGATAAAATATATACATTTGTTWATTTAATCTTAGATGGTATGTGGTACAGAGTAATATGTGATCAATTGAAGCCTGGTGAATCGGTTAAAGTACATTCTGTAGATTTAGGAAATATTGCATATTTAAACAATAGAAACATAAAAAGACTTCCAGAAGAACTAATATTTCACCCAACTCATGTTTCTCTATGTATTTTAGGTAAACACTAAATTGTTTATTTTTAAAGTTATATCAGTGTCATAGGTTTAATATCAAGRTATTATGTTTGTGTTTTTAGATTCTTCTGTTCAGATAAATGAAGAAAAGATAAAATTATTACAAAAATATGAAAACACAGATTKTGAAGTAACTATTGTGAAAAGCTTAGGTGGTAAAAATCATTATTTATTCAACTGTCCATTCATTGAAAATATTCTTCAGTAACTTTTTAAATATAAGTAATTAATACTATTATTACAATATCTTAATAATATGATTTAAAAATAATACAAATACAATTATATGGACGATAAACATATTGTATTTATCATAAGTTACATTTTTAATATATATTTAATGTTAAGTTACTATTTTATAATTTGTTTAAAATGTTTTCCATCTAATAAATAAAGTATTTGGTTTCAACAGAATGATTTTGTATTCTAATTTTTAGTGTGAGTTGATTACATAACAGCTAAAAATTAGTTTTTAAATTAAATATTCAAAATGTTGTATATATTATTGAACACTGATTACTGATACGAGTTGTGACAAATATTATTATGAATTTGGCACATTGTACAAAAATGAATAATCACATTTATTAAATTTATCAAAGATTTTTTTATAATTAAAGATTATTCATTATGTATCATTAGTATAATATAATATAATTAAAATATAAATTAATTAAGTTATTTATGTTCAACTTTAATTTCAGTAACTACGGGTGTTTCATCATTTTTCGCAACTTCAGATGTTTTTACTGCTGGTATTCCTGTTTGAATAATTGGTACACTGCGCTCACCTATTACTTGTGTTTCCTATAAAAAAAATTCACAGATTACACTTGTTGGAACAGTAAACTTTTCAGTTTTTAAACTAGTTTTAAAGCCTAATAATAGTTAAAATAGGTATATATTACATTTTATGATCAAAAATATATTCTGTTTAAAATTGTAAATTTCTAGACTTTTCAATAATATCTAAATTCTTCTTCTTTAACATTTCTATTACACATTATCTATTACTTCCAGCTTATTAATTTATATTAAGCRTATACAATAAATTGTACAAACCAGAATGTATTTWTWTTTTTTCAAATAGGTRTAGAAAATTTTAATTTGTTTCTATAATTTTAACAAATTTTTGAAAAAATTTGATTTTTTTTGCTTAATTCATAAATGAATAATTGTATAAATACTTTAAATATCCCCAAATTTTAAGTTAGGATTTCTTACATATGGTTAATTTTAAAAAATAATTTGAGTGTTAAAATTGGTTGATGAAAATTTTTATACAAATGAAAAACATTTTTTAAATTTATTTTTCTGGGTCTAAAAGCTTAATTGCATTTTTAATTATATAATTGTATCTTTAGTTAACTGATATACTAAATTAATGACACATTCTTATATAAAACGTATAGTAAAGAAATTAATTTCCTTCTTGTTTTTTACCTCAAGCTAGCCAAATAAGACTTAAACCAAATTTTTCTTTTTAAAATTAAAATATATACTAAAGAATAGATCAAAAGACAACATTTGTATGAGTGTTTGCTCAATACAGTAATTATTTACTGAGATGTATGACATTAAAATTCAAAAATGATTCAAATTACCCACTTGTACAGTAGGAACCTAATTGTATTGATTCTTTACCTAAATGAAAAGAAATGTATTAATTAAGACTAACTCGACTCTTACTATAAAACAATAAATACATTTTTTTTATTAGCTATTTGTATATAAAAGTAATCTTTAGTTCTCGATTAGTTAATTAAAAATATRCTAATTAAGTTCTCAGTTAAAAATACTGAAATACCACAATGTATTCATTGACACCGTAGATTTATTTTTATTGTAAGTGTTATAATGTGTATTAATGTAGTTCTGGTTGAAACATAAATACCAACACTATTAAACAGTAATAAAAAATTAAATAAATTACATGTACCTACATAAATACATAATAATTAATAATTAAAGAAAACAAAATTAGAGAAAAATTCTGTTGTTAGAAACAAAACAAATATATTACAATTTTAATAGGTAGGTATATAAAATCGCTTTAATTGACGCAACACCCCTATAAATTATCTCTGTCTTACAAACTTACAACACAATAAATTTGTAATCGATATAACCAATTTTTTATTGTTAATTTAAATATTACCATATCAATTTTAATTGAGCTTTAGGGTAGAAATATTACCTATAATAGTTAGTCGATTTTTTACGATACCTATTTAATATTTTAAGCAAGTTACAGCTTAGTAGTAAGTATTATATTAAATGTTAAAATATAAATTTGTTAATAATTTTATTAAAAATTAAAATATAGGTAATAAAACAAAAATGGCAGATAAGCAGTAGGTATAATTTGTGTACTGTAAGGTATGTATTTATTATTTTGGAAGAAAATTTCATTTAATGCTCTTTACCAACCCCCTCTCGATATTAAATTTTTTTTAACGACTTGTTTTTTTATGCTTAAAACTATGGTGTAATTTTTTTTATCGGAAACTAATATTTTAGAAGTAATAGCCTTCCAAATGTGGTGATTTTACGTTTATACACGTCATGCGCGCAACACTTAT